CTGTTGACTGGAAACTTTACCAATAATAACAGTCAATTAACACCTATTTTTTTATGTTATGTGTATTATATACTGTATACTTACAATAAAGTAAGTTCACTAATTTTTTTTGAATTGCCACAAGTCCCCCCAAGTATATTTATTTTGAAAATTCTGCATATAAATGGACCCATACAAGTCAAACCTATGTTGTTCAAGGGACAATAGTAGAACAGGGAAGCAAGGAAGGATTTTAATCAGGAAAGCATGTCTATGTTTTGAAAAGATCAATTTCACCATGGTGTGCAGAAAGGCTTATAGAAAACAAGACTGGAGATAGGGAAGTGCATCAGAGAAGGACTGGAGTAGACAAGATAGGACAGAGTGGTGGCTTGGATCAGCAGGCTGTAGTGTGCCCCTGCACAGACTATACAACAAATACGTCCAACGAGGGGAGAAATGGGGTCAAAATCTAGCCTTCTCCCATCATGCCAAACCTGTGACCCAGCTTGGCAAAAGGCTGATTCAGGCTGCTAAGGGGATCCTTGACAATTTGTCCACTCCAAGAGAACACCTCTTTGCCTATACATTAAGTTGGCTTGTCTGCTTAGGGAGCCCCTTGAACCAGGAAAGCCCCAGTGTAATGGGGAGAAGAGCTTTGGTGGAGGAAATACCACAGAAGGTGACCTGAACAGAACTTGCCGATGGATTCAATTGGATTTGAGTGGAAAAAAAATTAAGAGTGACTCCTAGATTTTTGGCCTGAGATCATTGTGGGTCTATTCCACTTACTGAAAAGGGGAAAACTGGAAAAGAAGAGCTGTGTAGTGCTAGAAAACCCAGGGTTTTGTTTCACACATGTCAGCTGAACTGTCATTAGGCATGAGATTGGCAATCAGGGAGGGAGAAAGTCTGAAAAGAGGAGATGAGAGACCTGAACCCTATTGGAGGGTGGCAACAATTAGAGGTCAGACAGAGAAAAAAGGAGCCAGCAAATTCCAGACTTACATTTAGCCACTAACACATACTTATACAATGAAACATGAAGATCATTTGTTCCAAAAATGGCTGCCCAGCAGGTGGAAGCTGGGTGGTGCCCACTCAACATGTGTTTTATAGCTCATTTTCAATTGAGAGCGCCCATATTAGTTCAGACAGTAGATCATCTACAAATTTAATTAACTGGATTTGTGCAGAATCTCAATTTGACCATAAAAATTTAATGCTTAATAGAGTTTAAGGTTTAATGGCCTTTCTTTTTAAAAGGAGACAGATGAAATGGCCACAGATTAATTTTTCCGGTCATCCCCACTATGTCAGAGTTATGAAGACAACAGAGAAGAGTGGATATTACAAGTCTGAATATTGGATAAAATACAGGATTTAACCACCTTTTGCCAAACTCTCCCTAAAAAGAATTATTTTCTCTAATTAACTGATTGTTTGCTCATAGTAAAATCTAACTAGTGCCTCCTAAAGCTACTCTCAGAAGTCAAGTATCTTACATCTATCTATACAGAACAACAAAATAACCTTATAATACCCTTTGCCTTTGAGTACAGACAGGTACTGTGTGCATTTGCTATTAGTAATGAAAACAAAACACTCTGCAATAATTTTGGCTAGGTCCATAAATATTTATAAGGCCTAGAGTGAATTCATTCAGATTTTTAGGTCTACTAAATTAAGAAGAGTTGTCATAAAAAGCACTAGACCTGGTGTTCAGTCTTGGCTCTGTCATTTGTTGGTTATGGGCAAAGCAATTACCATCCGTTTCTTTAGCTGTGGAGAGGGGACAGGAATGCCTACTCTGGCTGCTTCACAGGGGAGGTGAGCAAATTAAATAAAGGAGGATTTATAAAATGACCTGCCATTTCTACTGCTAGGAAAAGTGAATTCAGGAATGTTACAAACTCACGGTTGTTCTGCAGTATCTTTCCTTAAAATCGCTGGAATCCTGGAAATTAAATATGTCAGGCAGATCTGATACAAACACAACACAAATCAGGCAGATCTGATACAAACACAACACAAATCTGTGTGGGTTTTTTTCGTACTAGCATACAGTAGTTGATCAATAGCTATCAGTTTCCTTCTGTCCATGCTTTCCATTTCTCATTGGAAGAGACTTTAAAGATAAATTAATTCAAACTTGTTTTTATATGAGGAAACCAAGGCCCACAAAGGTGAAATGACATACTTCTGGTTTCTCAATAAATGCTCCATCTAAGTTTCTCCATCTGTTAAATAAGGGGCTTGGACTAGATCAGTCATTATAAAACTGTTTCACAGCAGAGTCTAGCCACAGGGGTTAAAGGAGAGACAGAGAGAATATGGCCTCCAATCACCCAGAGAAGATCTGGTTTTAAGGTACTATATATTCCAGTTCTACATAAGTTTATTTAGAAAAGAGGGTTTCATGCTGCTAACACCAACAACAAAATATTTTAAAGCAACTCTTGGTTTATATGAGTTGACAAAGTAGTTTGGCCAAATCATGACTAAAATACGATCTAAATGTTAATGTCTTCAGGCAGATCACAGCTCTGCAATTCCTGGTCCCCACAGCTTCCTTTTGTGGAAGGAGTGAGGCCCACTTCATTCAGTCAAGTTCCCTGCCTGGCCCCAGAATCACCTCCATCTCGCTGGCTTCTTCCATTCTTTGCAGAAATCCTATGGATGGTTCACTTGCTTAAATTCTTATTTCCATACTTAGGATGCCAATGTGACTGCTATAAAATGTAACAGCAGTTTAAACAATGTAGTTTGTTTCTCTCTCACACAACAATGTACAGCCCAGGGCTGATGTGGCAGTTTCATGATACCTGGAAACAATATCCCTCCTGTCATTAGGCATCCGTGAGTTAAAGCTCAAGATTCCTAAAGAAAGGAGAGAATGGCTCCTGGGAGAGCTGTTGGTTTATGCCACATCTCTATTAAATGTTAACCTCTGAGGGCAGGGGCTGTGCATACCCTGTGTAATGCCCAGTTATGTTCAAAACCTGTGCAAGTAGCTGCATATCACTCACTTACTAGAAGAAGGAAACCAAGAGGGAAAGGAAAGATTCTAGGTAGGAAAAGCAGGTTGGGAATGAGGGAGAAATTTAATTTTGGACATGTTTAATTTGAAAACTTGTCCTGCATCAAATGGAGAGGTCAAGTTGACAATTGTATAGACCAATCTCAGTACAGGAGCAAAGACTGGGCTGGAAATGAATATTTGGGGTAATCAACATGTGAACTGTACCTTGAGTTTTGGATGAGAATTGAGGGAAATGTACATAGATAGAGAAAAAGAGATGTCCAAGAACTAGATCTTGGGGTGCATGAACATTTAGAGGTTGAGGAGATAAGGAGAAAGTAGCAAATGAAACTAAGAAATAGCCCTTGAGGGAGGAGGAGAAAAATGGTGGTTCAGATACCAAGGGAAGGGTTTCAAGAAGGTGGTGGTGATCATTTGTGTCAAATGATGCTAACAGGTAGAAAATAAGGAATCAGAAATGAACATTAGATTTACAAGGAGAAGTCATCAGTCATTGGTCACTGGGACTGAGCAGAACGTTACAAGCAAAACAAGAAAGAAAGAACTGGAAACAACAAGTGCAGATTCTTCCAGGGAATTGTGTTGTAAAGGGAAGCAAACATGGAGTGCAGCTGACAGGAAAATGGGGGAAACCTTTTTCTGAAGATGTGAGAAATAATAGCCTGTTCCATTTCTATTAGAATGGTAAAATTTACTGATGTTGGTGAGAGGGAATTACTGTAGCAGTGTCCTTGAGTGGGTGAGAGGTGATTGGATCTAATGCAGATGAATCAGAATTGAGATTAGATAGGAATATGGAGAGTTCATCCTTCGTCATGGTTGGGAAGGCAGGGTACATGGATGTCAATGTCGGCAAATGGCTAGATGTGATGGAGGAATGAATGGAAGATCTGTTCTCTTTCCTTTTTTCAGTGTAATAGAAAGAAGGTCATTATTGACAATGGGAATAAAGGAGAAGTTGGTATTGTAGTTTTTAAAAAAGAAAATGAGACATACAATGTTCATCTCGAAATGGGAGTAAATGGACTAAAATTGTATAGTATGCTTATCTGGCAGCATCAAGAATCGCTTTAAGATTTGTGCTCCTAAATTTAAAATGAGACCAAATCAGACTAATTATGTGTTTTATTCCAGCAGTGTTCAACTACATGGATGCAGGCACGAGGTAATGAAAGTGAACCAAGGGTAATATGAAAGGTAATGATTGATCTTGGTATTGAGGAAGGAAATTCTAGGTCATTTTGGTGATTGGGGTACAGTGAAAATGCAGGAAGACTAATAAATTGAATGTCCAGGTGGGTGGGAAGGTCTGCTGGAGTTAAAGACAGAGGCAGTGAGCAGAAAGACTGAGGTGGTGATCAGAGCCTGGATCATAGGAAATTAGAATTAGGTTATAGGATAAGGGCTGCACCCATTTGTAATGGTACAGTGTGGAGTAAGACTGGATAAGTGACTGATGATAGAAAGGAGGCCTGGTTGCTAGGACAAAGGCCACACCTCTCCTATGTCTTCTATCCCCATCATCAAGACTGATGAGGGGCCTCTGCTCTTGAAATAACATCCGGCTTCTCCAAAAATCAACAACATCAAGAGAATCAGCAAGGTAAGACAAGCATGCACATTCAATATTTTCCCTTTCTCCTGCAGGGCTTAGGAAAGAACCAGTGCATGAGAATTAGACCCTCTACCCCACTATGAGAGGGAGTACCAAACCCTGTGATACACGTAGTCCTGCCAGTATTATGTACTTTGGATTCACCAAGTTGAATCTCACTGTGCTCTTTATTGGGCCATCACTACACAGGGCCCCAGATCATCCCTTATCTCCCACACTCTAATTTTCACATGGCTCTGCTCTTCCCTTTTGTGCCCTTGATGTCCCTGGTCGCCTTACTACTCTCTGCATGAGATTTGGATCTCCCCTAAGAACACAGGTGACCTTGCAGCCCTCTCAGATGGTGACTCTTTCCTCACATACCTCTTGACCCCTGGACATGGAAGTAGAGTTGGTTTTCTCTTTGCTTCTCATTGCGGCTTCCAAACAGTTTCCCCTTCCACCAGTCTAGAAAACAAAAAACAAACAAAAAAATCAGTTTTGAACCTCATGTCATCAGATTATATATGATACCTCCTTGATGCTGTCATCCACCAACCCTAGTTACTCCCTAAATTCTCTAACACTTTCAGTTCCTGACTCACTGTTACTTTCCTCATCATTATTCCTACCTTAGTTCTTGCAAGTTTAATGTACATGTGAATGAATTACATAGCAGTCTGCCTCTTTAGCTATATGGCCTACTCTCCTTTTCTTGTATCCATCCCACTCAGTCCCACGAGCATACCTAGATCTGCTTATTACCTGTTAGATGAGAGAAGTGAAGTCCATAAAGGTTCTTAATTAATATGCTCTACTCCTTGTTCCTCGACATTTATGAAGGGAATGTACACCTATAAATCTGACCCAAGTTCTAATTGAGATTCTACTACTTACAAGCTGTCTGACCCCAGGCAAACTCCTTAAACTTGGCTTCAATCTTTTTCAATGGAAAAGGGAAGATAAGACCACCTACTTCACAGGGTGGTTTTAAGGATTAAATAAGGTTATGTATGGTAAAGCACAGTGTCATATCTGATATCTATAATATATGACAGTTGTAAAGCTATTCCTTTCTTGCTACCTTATGCACCTAAAGGGACAATAGGATACACTGCTTGAGAATATGGGCTCTGCAGTTGACTGCCAGGGTTCAAATCCCAGTTCTACTACTTTAGTCATATGCTCTTGAGCAAATGTCTCAGCTGTTCTGTGTCCAATATCCATACCTGTAAATTGAGCATAGTACTATCTACCATGTTAAACTGTTGTGAGAAGGAAGTAAGAGTATGAAAATGAAAGCAATAACTTGAATGAAATGAAAACCATAGCCAAAACATGGAAACAACCTAAGTGACAGGAAACAATCTAAGATACAGAATCAACCTGTGTGACCAAAAATGGATGGATGAAATCTTGGCATTTGCAGCAACATGGATGGACCTTGAGAGCATGCTAAGTGAAATAAGGCAGACAGAAAAAGAAAAATACAGTATGATCTCTTATATATCTCACAAAACAAAAAAAACTAAGTTCATAGATACAGAGAACAAAATGGTGGTCCAGAGGCAGGCAGTAAGGGGTGGGTGAAATGCGTGAAGGGGGTCAAAAGTCACAAACTCCAGTTATAAAATAAATATCATGAGGATATAATGTATA